AAAATTCTTTAAAAAATCCACGTCTTCTGGGATTTAAGGGTAGTTGAAAAATTCTTTAAAAAATCCACGTCTTCTGGGATTTAAGGGTAGTTGAAAAATTCTTTAAAAAATCCACGTCTTCTGGGCTTTTAGGGTAGTTGAAGAATTCTTAAAAAATTTACCTCTCAAGGACTTTTAGGACAGCTGCAAAAATCCTTAAAATTCCACTCTTAAGGCCTTTAAGGGTAGTCGAATAATTCTTAAAAAAATTACCTCTCAAGGACTTTTAGGAAAGCTGCAAAAAAGTCTTTGAAAAATCCACGTCTAGAGGCCTTCAACAACCCTAGAATAATTTTTAAAAATATCCACGTCTAGAGGCCTTCAACAACCCTAGAATAATTTTTAAAAATATCCACGTCTAGAGGCCTTCAACAACCCTAGAATAATTTTTAAAAATATCCACGTCTAGAGGCCTTCAACTACCCTAGAATATTTTTTTAAAAAATCCACGTCTAGAGGAATTCAACTACCCTAGAATAATTTTTAAAAATATCCACGTCTAGAGGCCTTCAACTACCCTAGAATAATTTTTTAAAAAATCCACGTCTAGAGGCCTTCAACTACCCTAGAATAATTTTTTAAAAAATCCACGTCTAGAGGAATTCAACTACCATAGAATAATTTTTAAAAATATCCACGTCTAGAGGCCTTCAACTACCCTAGAATAATTTTTTAAAAAATCCACGTCTAGAGGAATTCAACTACCCTAGAATAATTTTTAAAAATATCCACGTCTAGAGGCCTTCAACTACCCTAGAATAATTTTTTAAAAAATCCACTTCTAGAGGCCTTCAACCCTAGAATAATTTTTTAAAAAATCCACGTCTAGAGGCCTTCAACTACCCTAGAATAATTTTTTAAAAAATCCATGTCTAGAGGCCTTCAACTACCCTAGAATAATTTTTTAAAAAATCCACGTCTAGAGGCCTTCAACTACTCTAGAATATTTTTTTAAAAAATCCACGTTTAGAGGCCTTCAACTACCCTAGATTTTTTTTTTAAATCCACGTGTAGAGGCCTTCAACTACCCTAGGATATTTTTTTTAAAAATCCACGTCTAGAGGCCTTCAACTACCCTAGAATAATTTTTTAAAAAATCCACGTCTAGAGGCCTTCAACTACCCTAGAATAATTTTCTAAAAAAAACACGTCTAGAGGCCTTCAACTACCCTAGAATATTTTTTTTTTAAAAATCCACGTCTAGAGGCCTTCAACTACCCTAGAATAATTTTCTAAAAAAATCACGTCTAGATGCCTTCAACTAACCTAGAAATTTTTTTTAAAAATCCACGTCTAAAGGCCTTCAACTACCCAAGAATAATTTTTTAAAAAAATCAACGTCTTAAGTCCTTTAAAAGTAGTTGAAAAATTCTTTGAAAAATCCACTTCTTAAGGACACAAAATGTCCTTGCATCTCAATTCCACAAGCTGTCTATGGCATTTCCCAAAAAACTGAAACGTCCATTGAATATTAAATCAAGTTTGATAATTGATTACAATTTATGCAGAAATTGGTGCGGGTTGATGAAGATGTTGGCGTTGACAAAGGACATGAACCGAAATGTCATTTATTTTCTGGGAACAAGAAGCTGAGATAGATTTCTCTTTGATTTACATTAATAGCCAATATCCAAAAAGAACATGGATGTAGAGAGCCTCCGCCTCCAATTAAGGACATTTGTTTCAAGGTTTTGTAATATTTTCAAAACTTTGGATATTTCTTCAGAATATGTAAACTTCTATCCCCTCTCCTCACTCCCACCCCCTATTTTTCTCCCTTTTAAAGAGAGACTCTCTTGGAAATTGTTGCCATTTAACTTTAATTGGATTTTGTCCAATAGGTAGGCGTAGCTCTCTCTCTGTCTTGAATAGACTGAAAATTCACTCAGAGCCTGGCAACAATGTAAGCTAATCTAATAAAGATTTATTTGTCTGTGTGTGTGCGTCCGTGCGTGTGTGTGTTTGTATTATTATGGGAAATTTACATATTCTTTGTTGGCCCTTAAGCCAAGCAAAGCAATGACAAAAAAGCTCATCCATCTTATAATGGAATCCGTCTGCCCTTGTGACCTTCACGTGTTTTGGGTTTTTTTTTTTTTTTTTTTTTTGAGCGAACAAATAAGGACAATGATCCGAAGTTAGAAAAGGAAATTGCAGATTCTTTTAATTCAAATTGACGATTTTTAAAGGTTCTGAAAACATTGATTTTTTTAATTTTTTTGAGAGGTCTCAACTACCTCATAATCATAGACTTTATTCGATTTTTATACCCTCCATTGTATGTCCATGGAGGGTATATTAAGTTTGTCATTCCGTTTGTAAAACCTCGAAATATACATTTTAGACCCCACAAGGTATATATATTCATGATCTATGTCGATTTAGCGATGTCTGTCCGTCTGTGGAAATCAATCTAGCTTCCGAACGAAATAGAGTAGGTTGACAAAATTTTACTCAAATGTCTACCATCTCTGCAGAACTTTTGGTATTGAAAATGGGTCATGAAGGTCCACGTTTTGGTATAGCCCCCATATAACTGTACCTCCCGATATTCGAAATTTTGGTGATTTTACCGATAATATTCATAGAAATTGTTTCAAATTCGATATTTGAAGTTTGTAATGGATACTGCAACCTTTGACAGAAAATTTTTTGTGCAGGTCTACGTCTTCGTATAGCCCCATATAGGGGTACCTTCCGATATTCGATATTTTTATAATTTTAGCGACATTATTCACCGGAATTGTTTCAAATTTGGTATTTGAAGTTCGAAATGGATACTGCAACCTATGACAGAAAATTGTCTGTGCAGGTCCACGTCTTCGTATAGCCCCCATATAACAGTACCTCTCGATATTCGGTATTTTGATGATATTAGCGACATTATTCACCGGAATTGTTTCAAATTTGATATTTGAAGTTCGTAAGAGATACTACAGCCTATGACGGAAAATTGTCTCTGGGAGGTACCATTCTATGGGGGCTATAGGCCTTTGGAGGACGTTTAGGTTTTTGGATTTTTTTTTAATCCACGCCTCTTTTCCTTTGGAGTAATTTTAGGGGGTATGGAAAAATTCCTTTAAATTCCACGCCTTGAGACCTTTGGAGGACTTTTAGGGGCTTGGAAAAATTACTTTAAAATGCACGACTTGAAGCCTTTGGGCTTTAAAATCCACGCTTGAAGCCTTTGGGTTTTAATATCCACGTCTTAAGGCCTTTTAGGGTAGTTGAAAACTTCTTTAATAAATCCACGTCTTAAGGCCTTTTATGGTAGTTGAAAACTTCTTTAATAAATCCACGTCTTAAGGCCTTTTAGGGTAGCTGAAGACTTCTTTAAAAAGTCCACGCCTTGTGACCTTCTAGAGGCCTTCAACTACCCTAGAATAATTTTTTAAAAAATCCACGTCTAAAGGCCTTCAACTACCCTAGAATAATTTTTTAAAAAATCCACGTCTAAAGGCCTTCAACTACCCTAGAATAATTTTTTAAAAAATCCACGTCTAAAAGCCTTCAACTACCCTAGAATGTTTTTTTTAAAAAGTCCACGTCTAAAGGCCTTCAACTACCCTAGAATAATTTTTTAAAAAGTCCACGTCTAAAGGCCTTCAACTACCCTAGAATAATTTTTTTAAAAAATCCACGTCTAAAGGCCTTCAACTACCCTAGAATAATTTTTTAAAAAATCCACGTCTAAAGGCCTTCAACTATCCTAGAATAATTTTTTAAAAAATCCACGTCTAAAGGCCTTCAACTACCCTAGAATAATTTTTTAAAAAATCCACGTCTAAAAGCCTTCAACTACCCTAGAATAATTTTTTAAAAAATCCACGTCTAAAGGCCTTCAACTACCCTAGAATAATTTTTTTAAAAAATCCACGTCTAAAGGCCTTCAACTACCCTAGAATAATTTTTTTAAAAATCCACGTCTAAAGGCCTTCAACTACCCTAGAATATTTTTTTAAAAAATCCACGTCTAGAGGCCTTCAACTACCCTAGAATGTTTTTTTTAAAAAATCCACGTCTAGAGGCCTTCAACTACCCCAGAATAATTTTTTATAAAATCCACGCCTAATACCCTCCACCATTTGGCAGTTTTTCAAAAAAAAAAAAAATATCAAAATATGTCTGTTAAAATTTGAAAATTTTAACAGATTTTTTTTTTTTTTTTTTTTTTTTGACAACTGCCATATTCTTTCCAAATGGTGGAACTTACACCCTTTTTTTACTTGTTTAGTCCCCAAAGAAATATAAAAAATTATTCTGACCATGTTGCGTATGATTACCGACATTTGTCATACGACCCCAAGTCCCAAATTAGGTTTCTCTACTCAACTCTCCTTCTTTCCTTGCCTTTATTTTCCTTCCCTTTTGCTTATATCTTCCCCTTTTCTGCCAAAAATTAATCATCCTTGATTCCTACCCCCTACAAAACTTAACAAGTTCATTATTATGTTTTCTCCATGTGATATCCGTGACCTTTTCCCCAAACCTTCCCACAACTTTATCTTTTATTTTCATGGCAGGCGAGTTTTATTAACATTTGATTGATTATCGAAGCATATTACAACTTCATATTCTATCTCTTCTATAATTGATTATTCCGACATCATTTGTGTTTATTTTGCATTTTTTTTTTTTCTCTTTTTGTCTCATAGTCTTGTTCGACACTTGTTTTTTGTTGGGCATCCCTGAATATTGCCCTCATTTGTGTAAGAATTGGGGTTTTGGGTAGGCAGCCTTGGGATATTTGTTGGACACACTTTCACAAATTAATAAAGGATTTTCAGGGAATTTGGGACAAGGTAAACATTCGGAGAACACAAAAAATCAAATCAGAAATCAATCAATCAATCATCTTGGAAGGGTTGCACCTGCAACTTTTTTATGATGATTTTTTTTAATTGAATTAAATTAATTTATTGAATTTTCAAATTTATTAATTGATTGTATTTTTTTTCCAGCGGACAGTTCATTCCTTTTGGCCAATGCTCAAATTGTGGATTTTCCCATTGTGTATTGCAATGAGTCGTTTTGCAAAATTAGTGGCTATAATCGGGCGGAGGTCATGCAGAAGTCGTGCAGGTAAGTGCAATTCCTAATTATTCCCACACATATTAAAGAAAAAAACTAAGAAATAAAGAAAACTTAATATATGTTTTGCCTAAAAGTAGGCACTAAATTTAAGAAATTCAAACTTAAACAAACTTTCGTCCAGGGGAGCGTATGATTGTTGTCAATAATAATACCTCCATGTAGGTAATTTTAGTAGAGGCCTTCTGAAGTATCCCAAGAGCCCTCAAGACGTGGATTTTTTAAAGAATTTTTCAACTACCCTTAAAGCCCAGAAGACGTGGATTTTTTTAAGAATTTTTCAACTACCCTTAAAGCACAGAAGACGTGGATTTCTTAAAGAATTTTTCAACTACCCTTAAAGCCCACAAGACGTGGATTTTTAAAGAATTTTTCAACTACCCTTAAAGCCCACAAGACGTGGATTTTTTAAAGAATTTTTTCAACTACCCTTAAAGCCAACAAGATGTGGATTTTTAAAGAATTTTTCAACTACCCTTAAAGCCCACAAGACATGGATTTTTTAAAGAATTTTTAGAAGGCTTTTTTAAAGATTTTTCTTATTCCTCCAAAGGACCCTATGACGTGGATTTTTTTAAAGAATTTTTTAGATAAAGATTTTTCCTAGTACCTTAAAGACCCCATAACGTGGATTTTTTAAATAATTTTTTAGATTTTTCCTAATCCTCTAAAGGACCCCTGACGTGGATTTTTTTTAAATAACTTTCTAGATTTTTCCTAGTCCTCTAAAGGACCCTATGACGTGGATTTTTTAAATAATTTTTTAGATTTTTCCTAGTCCTCTAAAGGACCCCATGACGTGGACGTGACGTAAATTTTTTAAGAATTTTAATACTTCTCTGACGGACCCTGAGACGTGGATTCAAAAAAAAAAAAATAATAATCCTCTAAAAGATCCCCAGACGTGGATTTTTTAAATAATTTTTCTAATCCTCTAAGAACCCCCAGATGTGATTTTTTTTAAAGAATTTTTGCAGTCCTTTAGAGAACCCCAAGATTTCGATTTTTTAAGAATTTTTACTGTCTTCTAGAGAACTCTAAGAATGGGATTTTTCAAAAAATATTTCGACTCCTTTAAAGGACCCAAAAATGTATTTTACAATTTTTTTAGTCCTTTGAAACACATTAGTTTATAAAGATGAAGATACGAAATAAATTTCGTGTTCTGGAAGTTTATTGTAGACGTGGGTTTTTTTTAAAATTTTCTAGTCCACAAAAAGACACCCATCTTTTAGATTTTTTTAAGAATTCTTATATTTCTCTAACGGACCCTAAGACATGGATTCAAAAAAAAATCCTCTAAAAGACCCCTAGACTTGGATTTTTAAAATAATTTTTATAATCCTCTAAGAGACCCCTAGATGTGATTTTTTTAAAGAATTTTTGCAGTCCTTTAGAGAACCCCAAGATTTCGATTTTTTAAAGAATTTTTACTGTCCTCTAGAGAACCCTAAGAATGGGATTTTTCAAAAAATATTTCGACTCCTTTAAAGGACCCAAAAATGTATTTTACAAGATTGAAAGGAGTCCTTTGAAAACCTCCACACATAGTTTTTCAAAGATAAAGATACGAAATAAATTTCATGTTCTGGTAGGTTATTGTAGAGGTGTATTTTTTTGAAGAGTTTTTCAAGTCCACTAAAAGACACCCATGTCATAGATTTTTAAGAATTTTTATACTTCTCCGACGGACACTAAGACGTGGATTCAAAAAAAAATAATCCTTTTAAAGATCCCTAGACGTGGATTTTTTAAAGAATTTTTCAACTACCCTTAAAGCCCACAAGACGTGGATTTTTTAAAGATTTTTTTAGACTTTTCCTAGTCCTTTAAAGTACCCCATGACGTGGGTTTTTTAAAGAATTTCTTAGAGGTTTTTTTTTAGATTTTTCCTAGTCCTCTAAAGGACCCCATGACGTGGATTTTTTAAAGAATTTTTTAGATTTTTCCTAGTCCTCTAAAGGACCCCATGACGTGGATTTTTTAAAGAATTTTAAAGATTTTTCCTACTCCTCTAAAAGACCCCATGACGTGGATTTTTTAAATATATGTTTAGATTTTTCCTAGTCCTCTAAAGGACCCCATGACGTGGATTTTTTAAATAATTTTTAGATGGTGTTTTAAAGATTTTTCCTAGTCCTCCAAAAGACCCCATGACGTAGATTTTTTAAAGAATATTTTAGAGTGTTTTTTTTAAGATTTTCCCTTGTCCTTCAAAGGACCCTATGACGTGGATTTTTAAAGAATTGTTTAGAGGGCTTTTTTTAAGATTTTTCCTAGTCCTCCAAAGGACCCTATGACGTGAATTTTTTTAAAGAAATTTTGAACCACGCCCAAAGGCCTCAAGGCGTGGATTTTTTTAAAGAAATTTTCAACCACGCCCAAAGGCCTCAAGGCGTCGATTTTTTTTAAAGAAATTTTCAACCACGCCAAAAGGCCTCAAGGCGTGGATTTTTTTTAAAGAAATTTTCAACCACGCCCAAAGGCCTCAAGGCGTGGATTTTTTTTAAAGAAATTTTCAACCACGCCCAAAGGCCTCAAGGCGTGGATTTTTTTTAAAGAAGTTTTCGACAACAAGATTATAGACATTTAAAGATTTTTCCTAGCCCTGTAAAGGTTTCCATGATGTGGATTTTTTTTAAAGATTTTTTGGTTCTCTAAAGGATTTTTAAGGAACTTTTCAACTACCTTTAAAGACCTCGAGACGTGAATTTTTTAAATATTTTTTTATTCCACTAAAGGATTGTTTTAAAGAATTTTGTTATTCCTCTAAAGGACTCTGACTTTAGGGTTTTTTAAGGAACTTTTCAACTACCCTAAAAGATCTTGAGACGTGGATTTTTTAAAGAATTTTCCTAGTCCACTAAAAGAAGTTTTATAGTTTCCTGGCGGATTAAAAGACGTGGATTAAAAAAAATTAATCCTCTAAAAGACCCCTAGAAGTGAATTTTTAAAATAATTTTTCTAATCCTCTAGAAGACCCCTAGCCGTGAATTTTTAAAGAATTTTTGCAGTCTTTTAAAAACCCTAAGATTGCGATTTTTTTAAGAATTTTTACTGTCCTCTAGAGAACCCTAAGAATGGGATTTTTCAAAAAATATTTCGACTACTTTAAAGGACCCAAAAATGTATTTTACAAGATTTTTTTTAGTCCTTTAAAACCCTTTGAGACTTTGAGACGTGGATGCAAAAAAAAAAAGAAAAATAATCCTCTAAAAGACCCCTAGAGGTGGATTTTTTTAAATAATTTTTCTAATCCTCTAAAAGACCCCTAAACCTGAATTTTTTAAATAATTTTTGCAGTTTTCTAAATAACCCTAAGATTGCGATTTTTTAAAGAATTTTTTCTGTCCTCTAGAGAACCCTAAGAATTGGAATTTTCAAAAAATATTTCGACTTCTTTAGAGGTCCCAAAAATGTATTTTACAAGATTTTTTAATCCTTTTAAAAACTCTCCAGAAGTTTATGGAGGTTTATTGTTGACGTGGGTTTTTTTTAAATTTTTCTAGTCCACTAAAAGATACAAATGTCGTAGATTTCTTTAGGAATTTTTATAGTTCTCTAACGGATACGTGGATGCAAAAAAAAATTAATCTTATAAAAAACCCCCTAGACGTGGATTTTTTAAAATTTTTTTTCTAATCCTCTAAAAACCCCACAGACGTAAATTTTTTAAAAAAATTTTCTAATCCTCTAAAAGACCCCATGGACTTGAATTTTTTAAAGAATTTTTGCAGTTTTCTAAAGAACCCTAAGATTGCGATTTTTTAAAGAATCTTTACTGTCCTCAAGAGAACCTTAAGAATGGAATTTTTCAAAAAATATTTCGACTCATTTAAAGGACCCAAAAATGTATTCTACAAGATTTTTTAGTCCTTTGAAACCCTCCAGACATGGGTATATAAAGATAAAGATACGAAATAAATTTCATGTTCTGGAAGTTTATTGTAGACGTGGATTTTTTTAAAGAATTTTTCTAGTCCACTGAAAGACACCCATGTCGTAGATTTTTTAAGAATTTTTATAGTTCGCTGACGGTCCTCTAAGAGACCCCTAGATGTGATTTTTTTTAAGAATTTTTGCAGTCCTTTAGAGTACACCAAGATTTCGATTTTTTAAAGAATTTTTATGTTCTCTAGAGAACTCTAAGAATGGGATTTTTCAAAAAATATTTCGACTCATTTAAAGGTTTATTGTAGGCGTGGATTATTTTAAAGAATTTTTCTAGTCCACAAAAAGACACCCATGTCGTAGATTGATTTAAGAATTTTTATAGTTCGCTGATGGAGACTGAGACGTGGATTCAAAAAAAAAAAATCTTCTAAAAGACCCCTAGACGTGAATTTTTAAAAAAAATTTTCTAATCCTCTAAAAGACCCCTAGACGTGGATTTTTAAAATAATTTTTTTAATCCTCTAAAAGACCCCTATACGTGAATTTTTTAAAGAATTTTTGCAGTCTTTTAAAGAACCCTAAGATTGTGATTTTTTAAGAATTTTTACTGTCCTCAAGAGAACCTTAAGAATAGAATTTTTCAAAAAATATTCCGACTCATTTAAAGGACCCAAAAATGTATTTTACAAGATTTTTTAGTCCTTTGAAACCCTCCAGACATCGGTTTATAAAGATAAAGTTACGAAATAAATTTCATGTTCTGGAAGTTTATTGTTGACGTGGGTTTTTTTTAAGAATTTTTCTAGTCCACTGAAAGACACCCATGACGTAGACTTTTTAAGAATTTTTATAGTTCGCTGACGGACACTGAGACGTGGATTCAAAAAAAAAAAAAATAATCCCCTAATAAACCCCTAGACGTGGATTTTTTAAATCATTTTTCTAATCCTCTAAGAGACCCCTAGATGTGATTTTTTTTTAAGAATTTTTGCAGTCCTTTAGAGAACCCCAAGATTTCGATTTTTTAAGAATTTTTACTGTCCTCTAGAGAACCCCAAGATTGCGATTTTCAAAGAATTTTTACTGTCCTCTAGAGA